GGACTTGGCAGTTTATCTAAAAGAAATTATTTCCCAGGCAAAGACACAAGGGTGGCCTTATTGTCATGGAAGTCACTTCAAAAATTAGTTGGTAACTTACCAGCAGGAAAACTTCCATGGATGTAATTATTAATTCAAACAGAAAGTACTTGTGCAGTTTTATATTTATGTAATTCTATCAAATATTAGTATCACAGAATCTGAAAGCAAGCTAAATAACAGCACAAATAAATATTTATGGTTTATCTAAGTGATCTTAAATTACCTCCACCATTGCCAACGTCCTACTTTGATATTTTTGTTTATAGAAAGGGACATTTTTTATTACATAAAAAGCTTGTTAACAGCTTCAATTTACTTTCTTTTTTTTTCTGCCACTTCAGATCCTGTTCCCTTCGGGAGCATTTGTGAGAGCTGACGTGAGTGAGTGGGGAATGGGTTTGACGGTGAGGATGCCGGGCAGCGACTTCAACAGCACCAGAGGTTTGTGTGGCCTCTTTGATGGGATGGCTCACAATGACCTGAGCAATGTGCCTGAGGAAGACTTCATAGAGGAGTGGAGGTACAAAGCAAAATGCTCTGTGACAGTGTTTCAAGGGGTGTTGATAGGTTTATTTCATTACACTCTCCCTCATGACCTGACAGATGGATCTGCTTAATCTAGAGAGGGAAGCCCAGAGACCCATGGCCATCCAGACAGCACAGGGGCTTAATTTTCAGCCAGAACAATACACATAAGCAGTGCTGAGAGAGGTTTTATATTTGCAAGTGATGTCATGATAACAGCTGTGTTAAGATCCCACTCAGCTGCTAAAAAAAAAAATGTGGTTCTCACCCACAGTAGAAAATGTAGATAACTGACAATAGGAATTAATTAAGGGTTTGGTATTTCCCTTGTTCTTTTCTTTCCGGACACTAATTACCACATGTGAGTATAGATTAAATGTTACATTTTGACAAAGTGTGGTAATATATGTACCATGCTAAAACTTAATATCTGCTCTACTAATGATTGGAGTGAGCTTGAAAAACTTGCACTTTCTGAGACAGGTCATCTGGAACTAAAGCCAGGAGTCTGGTGCCCTGACATATCCCTATCCCTATCCCTATCCCTATCCCTATCCCTATCCCTATCCCTATCCCATTTTAGTTCCTGTTGTTGAACTCTAAACGTGCCTAATAGGGGTTCCTAAAACCAAAATGGGTTTGGCTGACTGTGTAGTTTTGTTTTTAAAGTATGTTTTGCAAATAGGGAAAAACAGGGTGAACCACCGTAAGATACCACTGCATCTGCACACGGGAATTTAGTGTAATCCTGTAGGAACAATAAATTGTAGACCTATTGCATTTCAGAAAATAAAGAAACACCTCTACCATTTTCTGATTATAGTCAATGGGCCTAAATAACGGATATTTGATGGCAATTTTGACCTGTCATTACAAATTGTGCTATTTAGAAGGCAACAGCAATCTTTAACATGCTAAGAACATGATAATCAGTCAGAGCTTGCTTCTGGAAAGGCAAATGGAGAAATAGTTTGGTGCGAGAACTGACCAACTGCTGACTATGCAAAAGGGGCTAACAAGGTCCTTAGGAAGACCTTTTCAAAGCAAGTTTGTTGCAAGATCAGAAGCCAAAGCACAATGTATAGGAATTTACTTAGAAAGCAGTGAGGGGTTTCCTGGGGCTCGGTACATATGATGGAGATATTCCAGGGAAGGTAGGAGCTTCTCCTGACAAGTGAGAAGGGCAAGAGGGGTGATGAGTTTCACCTTCCAGTGCTCCCAAGAATGGATTCTCAAGGACCCTTCAGAACCTGGTTAAAAAAACCACTAAGCCCATGGACAGGCTAAGGCCACCTCCGGAGGAGACTGGATCGATCTCTGATCCACCCACAGAGAAATGGCGCAGTAAAAAGCAAAACCTAGAATGTGATTTTTCTGCTGCTGTTTTTAATTTCATTTTAAATAACACTGAAAGTGTGTTAGGTCTTCTCAAGCACCTGAAGCTAGTCTGAGTGCTCACCATCTGGCAGTTTGTCTCTGAATGGCCCAGATGTGTTTTAAACATCAGCTTTCCAATGCAACTTTTAAACAATAAACCAACATCAGAGCCTCCTGGCCCTAAAATATCATCCAGACAAGGAAGAGCTGAATTTTAAAACATGTATTTAAAGTAGGTAAAATACATTTTTCAAATCTTTTGAGAAATCAGCAGCAATGCTATTAATTTTAGACTCTCTAATAGCATCCAACTCAGTTTGAAAAACTTGTCTTTAGTTCTTCCTTGAGGATAATGGGCAGCTTAGAGGAATGCCAGTCTAATCATCTTATGTGGGGCACAGAAGGCACATCCTAGCTCACTGGGATGCTGTCAGTATGTGCATGCCTGTGAGGAAGGATGGGAGTTCCAGTGTCTTCATCCTTTCCACACCATACACCTTCGTCCCATTGACCAGGGCCAACCAAAGGAAGGTGTTCGGTTTCACACAGGAATAATGAGGGAATTTGTATATATGCCATTTTCAATATGTTTTGGAAAAACTGGATAAAGGCAATTATGTTTTCTACAACAGAATCTAGTGTCTGACTCCAAAATGTTAGCAAATGGTTTCACTTTCATGAAATCTCTACATTTTGCCAAAATAAGTTAAATTGTTGGTGGTATTTCAAATTTGTCTGGAAATGAAATGTTGCCAAGTATTGGAACAAGAAGCATATCTTTTTCTATGAAACTCTGGAATTCCTCTTGTGCTGCCCAAATAAGATCAATAAGAGATCTTGTGCTCATGAAATTTCAGAAGAAATTTGATCGTGACTGTTTATTTAAACTGAGCTCTCTAGAAGTTCATCCATCATTAAAGCTGGCCAAAATTAAAAAGGGTGAAAAAAAATCATCACCTCACCTTATTTGATAGCCCAGCCCTACGATCAATAGAAAACTGCTTTGTGCCAAAAGAAACACTCAAAGAAAGCTCCATTAGAAGACAAGAATGAAATGAAGTATGCGTAAAAAAAATTTAAAGGAAAAAAACACTTAAAAGAAAAAAACTAGTGATCCAAGTCTTGGAGGAAACTCCTAGTAAGAAGAGCATAGGTAAATAAATAATTTTCATAATAAAGCATTTGAAACAAATATGTCTTTTTTGTCATTCTCCAAGCTGTATCAGAGTCACACCAGGGACAAATCCAAGACCTCATTTCGTGTGTAATATGCAAAGAGTAACCTGCACCTGAGAGAAACTTCTGCAAAGAAAAGTCAAGCAGTTAGGCAACAGTCCAGCAAAGAACTTAAGCATCTGTTACTAAAAAGTCCCCACGTAGTGCTAATAAAATGTACAGGACAACTCAAGAAGGGCAGTGCAAAAGTGACTAAAGAAAACGGAGATTAAACTTAAGCATTTTCTTAAGCACTTTGGTAGATTAGGAATGTATACATTCCCCAGCCTCAGGGAAAGTTTACTTGTTATTGCAGAGTAATTTGTTGAAAGTTTCCTCCCTCTAATCTCTTTCTATTTTTGAATCAGAATACCTCCAGGGAAGAGTTTGTTTGACAAGACTCCAGTACCTTCTGAGGGGAAGCAAAGGAAAAATTATTGCAGATGTCAGAAGGAGAGCGCTAAGCCCGTGGTAAACACACTGAAAGCCTTTCAGACTCCTTTCCCTCGGTCCTCTGGTTGCCATTATGATCATGTGGATTACACCTCTGCAATCCCGTATCTTGATGTCACATCAGAGTTTGTCACTCACTCAGAAACAGAGTCGACTTTAAGAAAAGATGAGAAACTGTCGACCAAGACTTTTGATCAGAGATATCTGCCTAAATCAGTCCAAAAACGAGGTAGCCTTGAGGACCGATTAAAACCCCTCGTGCACAATGTTTCCGTGAAAAACAGCAGTTCCATTAACTCCACCAAGCCAACAGAAGACCTAAGGAGAGCAAAAAGGCAGGAAGATTATTATGAGTACTCATCCTTTCACCCGTTGCATGGCCCAAGCCAGAGAGACCCAGAGAGCTTTGCATATTTTTTCCCCGAGGATTACTTTGAAGGGATTCGGACAAAACTTCCACTGGTGTGGCCCACTCCCAAAGGCCTAACTGCTGCCAAAGCTCGGGAAATTTGCCACCGAATTCTTGCAAATTCCACCATTGGCTTAGTGTGTAAAGGTCTCCTTGAAAAACAGCTAGATGAGGTGGTTGATATATGCCTTTTAGATCTGCAGCTCAAGGACGATGTGGCCTCGGTGAGGGCGTTGATAGCCCTTTTGGAGAACGAATGTGAAAGACGAGTGCTAGAAAACAGAAATAAGTTGTTTCATGTGGGAAACCAGCCATCTGCTACCCAGGAGGAAATCCTCACCGTTCTCCGATGTCCTGCTTTCTGTAACGGCAATGGACAGTGTACTGAACTGGGCTGCCAGTGCTTTGAAGACCACAGCTCCTATGATTGTAGCATTGCCAAAAGTAAGTAAAAAATTCTGTTTGTTCCTACCCTGCCCATCTTTCCATGGTTTTAGAGTTATTAGGTAGAACATCCGCACAGAGTTGTTTGCTCATCAAACAGTGCTACCAGTAAGATATTTGATGAATTAGTAATCAGTTTTTGACCTTGAAGAGCTGATCAAAATATCTGGTTGGCTGGTCCTTCACTTTTTCGCCTCAGTAACTTTTTAAAAATGGATTTTACAAGCCCCTTAGCAAATTGGTTTTGCAGAAGTGATTTTCTTTACATCTGATCTATCACCAGCATGCTGACAAGAAAGCTGCTGACAAAAAAGAGGGTCCTGCTCACCTTGTGGTCAATATTCATGTTAACACTGTATAGATACTTCTTTTTATTTTTTTCCCCGCTCATCAGAGAATAAAATTTGAAAATTAATTCAAGCACTGTATTAATAACCAAAAAAAAAAAAAAGTGACAAAATGAACAGGTTGTCAAAGCCATAAAATAGCTACAGGACACATTCGAACCCGCAGACCTGATTCTGCAAATATTTTTTAATTATGTTTACACAGGAGACTAGGTTTGTTTCCTCTTTACAGTTCAGCCCCTCAACAGATAAATCCAAGACCAAAGCAAGTACTGACAGTGCTTGAAACTAAGCACATGCATAAATGTTATATTAATTTCGAAATGTAAGCCCTGCCTCAGCAAACCACATAAGCTTATGCTTGAAGTTACAAAAAAGGTACTTAAGGCTCAGCTGTACGTTTGAGTTCCTGCAGCTTAAGAAGGAACAGTATTTCAGCTAAGCTGAAATGACAAGGTATGCTCTCTTAACCCATCCTAATTGTGGGGGGAAGCCTTTTTCTGCAATGCTTAGGCTAATGGACATTATTCTGTATTTAGGACAAGTAAACCTCATATGGAGGGTCAGTTGCCATGGCTTAGCTGAGACATTCGAACCTCTATCCAGCCGCAGTAGCTCAGCCACACATCTGATACCCCACCGCATTTACCAGCCAGGATGGGATGACCCACCTGCTTCACAACAAACATGTCTTCAGTGTGCTGACTTAAAGCAGTTAAAATATATCCTGACATTTGGGGTTTTTTAATGGCAGGTTAAAATGTGCAGGATCATTTCCTGAATTTGGAGGAATTCATTCTCTTTCACGCAGAGAACAACTGGCACCAGTGACTGGAAAGCGAGTTGAGCAATTTTGCAGTAATTGTCCAATATACAATTCAATGTTTAAACTTCATTTCTCTGCGATACAGTCAGGTTAGGGGGGTGTTCTTAGGCCAGATTTTAAAATTTTATTTTATTTTTGCTCTGGTTGAAATCTCTCAGATTAGAGGAAAATAACTTCAATATGACCTTTCAAGAAACAGCTAATGGCACCTTGTCTTCTTGCTGCAACATCAAATATAAACAAGAACGGAGTACAGAGCACAGCCCGAAATTGCACAGGGAGGTGAGAAGTGGAAAACAAACACACATCAGCTGTGGCAAACACACTGTAAGCCATCACTACTCCCGGATCTGACTGCTTTCTCCATCTCTCACTGCCTTTGCTTCACTTTTCTCCAGTTAAGGAAAATGTGATGGTTGGTCTTTGCTTCAGATCACTTCTCTTTTGGGAGCCTGGTTTAGCAGAGTTCACAGTACATCAAATTATTTCCTCTGGTTTTCCAAAGAGTCCCTGGTATCCCAACTCCCCCCAGCAGATTCCTGCTCCCTCCAGTGCCACTCACCTGGAAACCCCCCTGCTCCGGGGCTCCCACAGGGTCTCTGCTCAGCCAGAGCGGCTCCACGGAGGCTGAGTTTTTAGCATCAGCACCCTCGTACTTAGCCCAGTTCCTGGGGAAAGCAAGTTTGGTGTTGGACCCACAAAAGAGCCTCACTGTTGCAATTAGGGAAGTAGAAATTTCCCTTTATGTTACACTGCTCCATTTGCTGGGGGCGAGTTTGTTAGCGTTGTGATAAAATTAACAGTGACAGCTTCAGCAGATTTCCTAACACAAGGCAGAAGGCCCTTTTCCAAAATCCCCTTGCAGTTTTCCCGACATTTCAAGGGCAATATTTGATTTTAAAAGTGAATCGCCCTTGTCCTCTCTGTCACACTGCATACAACCCACATTTTCTTAGCTGTAGCTAAGGACTTGCATATTTTTTTAACTAACACCTGTAAAACATTTTCTATAACTTAAAAAAATAATTTGCTCACAGACTAATGAAAAAAAACATCCATTAACATTTTTGAGAGTTTGCTTGTTAAAAAAAGGATCATCTTCAATATATTAATCTAGGGTCTGTCTGGTTGGATTTGCTTTGGTTTGTTGATTTTTCCCCCCAAATGAAGACACTGAAAACAAAGAGAATCCACTTCCTGACCAAATTTGCCTATAACACCAAAGTATTTACAAATGGGAACAACAGTGACTAGAAGAGTCACAAATACCTTCTGTAACACGGGTTCCACAAGTGCAAAACACTTCAGAAAATATGCCTTTGAATCTGTATATTGCTGTCACTTGACTCTTCCCAAAGCATGTTGCCAGAAGAGTCCTCAGCTTCTCCATGCGATGGGTAAGTGGAAGGCAGTATGAATTTCCCCCAGTGTTAGTAGTAACAGTTCGAAGATTGTCATCAGACCGGTCCCTTTAAAGAGAAGGGCTTCCTTTAGTTTGGGGAACAGAACATTGGAAATTAATTTCTCAAAATGTTTAGGGGATACTCACCCTTGGAGAAGCATTTGAAATGGTACTGTGTCCTTACTGCAGACAGTCATTTAATCTGGATGATTTGGTTTAAATTCTTTATACCAGAGATAAAAGAATACTTGATAAAGAAGAAATTAAGAACAGGACATGTCTTCTAGTATTTTTTCCTTCTCCTCTCCCAGATATCCTGGTACCATCTAACACTAGAGTGGTGAAAGGCCAGTATGTGCTGGGAGGGCGATAGCTTAGGCAGCTGCACCAGAGCCCAGCAGAGAGCAGGACCTGGCCGTTGGGTTAGTCCTTCTCTTCACTGATTTGCAGGGAAAAGCACTACAGTATCACACAGTAATGACATTCCTCTTAAACAGCAGCTCAAAAGACTTGTCCTCCAAACTGAAGGCCCGTTGACGTCACTAAAGCCAGGATTTCACACCAGAAAAGGCTCTTAGAGATGAAGAATTAAGATCAATCTCAGAAATAAAGCTGTGAGTTCCAACGGGAACAGCGTGAGCCCCCTCCCTGGCAGCTCAGGCATCCCGACCCGGCTGGCAGCGTGCAGGCGGGATAAGCCTTTTGGCTTTTGTACTAATAAGCCAAGGTTCTGGAAGAAGATAAAAATAAAAAGAGGAGAAATTAAGAACTGAATTAAGTTTCTGTAGGAGACCTAAAACTGCTGCCCCTTTCACTTTCTTTTAAAAAGAGAAGCCTGAAGAAACAGAAGAATGTATGTTGATTTTGGAAATGTTAACTCTTAAATTCCGTTGTTAGGAAAAAAGTTATTTTCTAGGATAAGTTCCATGAGTAATGAAGGAGAAGGCAACTCCTTTTGCTGGCCATAGATTTTCCCATTAGCTCCAAAACAAATCTCCGTCTAATTTTCTCAGGCTGGAATTATAGACCTGAATTAAAACTCCCCCAAGATCAAGGAGGCCATCAACATAATTCAAATATCTTTTCCAAGGTCACCCAATCTCAGCTACACTGCCAACACATAATGTATTCTTCCACTGGTTTTGACCAGCACACACACACACAAAGATGCCCGTGCAGTATTTTTAGGGATGAGAATACAACCCATAACATATTTGGAACAATTTTAAAAGAAAACATGTAGAAAGAGAAGGTGCAAAGCATAGCTTTCAGACAGGCTTACTCCTCCGCTCTGACCGACTCCAACAGGAGCAGTCCAGGTGGCCAGAGCTATAATTATCCTCACACGAAAACTGCAATTTGGAGTTGAAAGGCACCTCTGAAATCTGGCAATGCTCCAGAAGCTTTGACTTTCTTAATGTTGCTTAACATTTCATAAACCCCCTCCCAACACCTGTATAAGGTGCTTAAAATGTCGTTACCACCTGTAATTAAATACAGAATCCAATTACCGCAGATACAAATCAGGTTGGTGCTTACCATTCGTATATATTGACCATGTTGCTTATAAAAAAAAAAAAAAATCAGCATTAGTAAAGCACACAGAGAGGGATGTAATATGCAGATTGTATGAAGCTTTAAAGAGCAATTACAAGATAAAGTGTAACGAGGAATAATAGGGACAAATTATTGGCACGTTCGAGCTGGGGGTGACGACCTTGTTAAGCAAAAGTTTGTCCTTCATTAGTGAGAGGAGTAAAGCCTTTGGCGTGTTCTTCGCTTCTTCTTATCAGCAAGGAAAAGGATTATTGCCTTTTGCCTTTGTACAACCAAGATGTTCAAGACATCCCAAGGCCTTCCCTTCTCCGGGCCTGTGACAGGCAGCCAGTCCTTTACAGTCAGGTGTTTGTAGAGCTGGGATGGTGTTGGTGCGGTCGGTGCAGGTAGGAATTCCGGAGTTGGGGTTTTGGCAGGGAGGTGGTCCTAGACCACGTTCCAGATCTCTTTGTGGTTCTAGATCAGGTTCTAGATAACTTTGTGGGTCTAGACTATGTTCTAGAATGCTTGAAGGTTCTAGATCACTTTGTGGTTCTAGACCAGGTACTAGATCACTTTATGGTCCTAGACCACATTCTAGATCAGGTTCTGGATCACTTTATGGTTCTAGATTGGTTTCCAGGCTGGCTTAGGGCTCCATTGTGTTCTGAGGGAGGGCCTAGTTCAGGCAGCTGTTTTGGCATCTCACGAGGATTTGGAATACTTGCTGATAATGGGTTTTTTTCCTTTATTATTTTCTTTTTTTTGTCTTGCGTGCTTTTTTTCTTCTTGGTGGCTCTTTTGAGTTGAAGGCCCATAGGATCATTCCATAAACTGCAGCTCTCACAAGTTGCTAGCATGCTGACTCACCCTGCCTCTGTGGATGTTC